CCATACTCTCCGATCTGGATTTCCTTTAAAATGATACTATTAAAACAGGGTGACAATTGATGTCCTAACCTCAGAGGAAGACAAGGCGCCACAAAATGTAGGGCACGCAAGGAAAAAAAACAGAATACATTCCAAGATAAAAATTCAAAACACTCATATAGAAAGATCAGTCCATGCTTCTGAGTCCTGCTCCAAATGAAGGACATTCCTCCTGGACAGAAGGCGGCAATGGAGGACATATCCTAGGAAAGGAGGACTCATGGGGTCACCCTAGATCCCAAGCTTCTCCAAACCACCAACCCCCCTTTTACGTTCAAGTGGGGAAAAGTCCCCCTTTTAACTTCGCAATCTGGCCACCTTGTATTAAAAGACTAGTATCCTTGTATCCTTTTATGTCGGTTTTAACAGAGACAAAGAGCTTGTTTAATTATTCTTATTCTTATTTTTAGGGGAGGTGATTCACACTTTCAATCCAGAAACTCATCAGTTAACTTGTCTCTCCCCCCCCCCCCAAAAAAATAATAATAACTGGCAGCTCAATTTATGAAGTGACTCTCTGGAAAAAATACAGCAAGGGAGAGACAAAGCTCTGGCCGGAGTCCTGTATCTGTGAAACGTGTGAAAACCACCCCTCCACTGTCCCAGAATCCCCCAGCCACCTGGGCATGCTGGGATGCACGGGGGAGGGGGGACGACATCTGAGATTTGTACTCCCCAAAGATTGAGAAGAGGGGGTTAAAAGGTGAGGTGATCGCCCCTGTTTACATATTTGAAGGGATGCCATATTAAGGCTGGAGGGAACTTGTTTTCTGCTGCTCCAGAGACTAGGACCCGGAGCAATGGATGCAAGCTACAGGAAAAGAGATTCCACCTTAACATTAGGAGGAACTTCCTGAGCAGTGAAATAGGTTAGTGGAGTCTCCTTCTTTTGGAGGTTTTTAAGCACCAATCTGTCTGGGGTGCTTTGATTGGGAGTTCCTGCATGGAAGGATGGGGTTGGACTGCATGACCCTTGGGGCACCCTCCCGCCTAGTTCTCGGATTCTATGATCCTCAAGGCGACTTTTCTCCCCCTCGGAGGCCAGCCCCCCCCCCGCCTCTGCTGTACCTGTAGTAATCCTCCTTGCAGTAGATGCTGCCGTCCTTGGCGAAGCAGGTGAGCTCCGACTCCAGGGCCAGTTTACATTCGCAGCACTTGAGGCAGCGGAGGTGCCACTGCTTGTCCACAGCCAGCAAGTAGTAGCGGTCCGAGATCTTCCCTCCGCAGCCCGCACACAAGGCCGGCTTCTCCGGACTCAAGGGGGGCATGCTCTGCAAAAGGAAACAAAACACCTCAATAGGAAAACAACAACAACAACAACAACAACATAAAAGGGGGGGGGGACCCCCTTCCAGCAACTCTAGGCTGGGCAGAAGGAGGGAGAAAGAAAGATAAGGCACCTCCAGGGCCACACCGATGCGCACGTCCGCACTGCAGCACTAATCCGGTTTGACACCGCTTCCACTGCAAACCGGATCAGTGCTCTAGTGCGGCTCCTGAGGTCCCTGGGCAAACTTGACTGTTGTTGTCTCCTCGGAAGTAACTCCCTCCCCTCTCTGAGGACTGGACTCTCAACTCCAAGCTTTAAAGTAAGGGGGGGTTGCAGACTGCTAGAAATAGTGCAAATTGAGTCCA